CTCGGCTCACGTTTAATTAAAAATATATATATATATATTTTGACCACCGGGGTCGCGGCCGGCGGGACGACCAGAAGTGGAGGTTTTGTGGAACTTGTAGTAGAAGTCATCCGGGATTCTACTGCAGTGGGAGTTCTAGTTGGTTAAGGAAAGAAATCCTAATCCAAGAAGAATAAATATTTAATTGGCCATATAGTGGATATTTATTTATGGCATTAATTATTTGTTTGTTTATTCATGTATGGAATTAATTGTTGCCTTGTGTGCATAGAATTATTTAAAATTGCATGAATATATATTAAAAATCCTCATTTAAATACTAAGTTGAGAAGGATATTTAAAGTTAAGATAATTTTTAAATTCCTAAGGCCTCCATTTCTAATTCGTTGGTAAATCAATTAATTGATAGTGTGGGCTTTCCCGAGGATGACATTACTTGAAATTAATTGAAGGATAATTATCAGAACGAAATTCTAAATTTAGACGATTAGTGAAAATCAAATAAGAGCGTACGGGTCACCCCGAGGTGAACGTATAATCGATTTTGGCGACCATAGGACCGAGAAATGGGATTCACTTAGAATGCAATTCATTTCATAACCCCCCGAGGGGTCCCTGATTTTTATTGCATGGCCAAAAGGTGACCTACTATTAATTTTGTTCGTCATGAAATTGGTTTTGACTAATAGAAATTAATGGGTTCTGGAAAAACCCTTCTTTAAATAAACGAAGAATTAGTAGAGTTGCCCGAGCATCATACTAAATTCTCAAGGTTTAAGGATGTTGGTGAATTTAAGTTAGTATTGTTTTGAGGATGTCAATATTAACAGTTAAATTCAAAATGTTTAATCAGTAAAATATTTTCGTAATTCTCAGGTTTATTCATCATGTCGTTCAATCCATTGTCTGTTATCTTAAAAGAAAATCAACTCACCGGTCCTAATTACATTGATTGGAAAAGGAACTTAGACATAGTGCTGACTGCTGAAAGCTATAAGTATGTGCTAACTGAGGCTTGTCCTGATGTGTCGGCTGATAATGTCCCAGATGAGGAGAAACAGGAGTATGCTCGGTGGAAGAAGGCCGATGAGATGGCGAAGTGTTACATTCTGACTTCTATGTCAAATGTCCTTCAACATCAGCATCAGTCAACGGGAGAAGTTAGCTACACGGCCTCCCGGTCGATTTTCCCCATGAAGTCGGGCTTAATCATGGCTTGCTCCCACGTATCACAAGCATAATCGAAGTACTGGACCGTCATGGGAACAAGCTCGTCGAGGAAGTCGGGGGAAGCGCAGAACGCCCCGACCACGGCCTTGCGGTAATGATCGAGAAAAACTGCCCTGGTTGTGGACTTCAAGAAGGTCCGTCGACCTTCCTGAACCCTATTTTCCCTCTCGACCAAGGCCTTGTCATTAGCCTTG